AAAGTTTCAGATTTTAAAAAGTTATAAAATTTCAATCAATATCTTAAATGGAGACTCCCCCGTAATATGCCAAGGTTATGATGGGAGGTCTTGAAATGTTTCTTTCTAACGAAGGGGATAAAGTAAGGAAGAGTAGAATCTGGGGGTTCTGTTTAGTAATTTTTAAAATTTAGCCCAGTTTTTTGGGCAATTTGGTTGACTTCAAGGACACTTTTGGTTGCAAACCCTATCATTTATATACAAAAGAACTAGTACATAGATATGACATAAATTATTTAAGATTTTTCTTATTCCGTGATGCTGGTCTTTACTTGAGACTTACAGATTCCATAGATCAGACTTGGAGCATTCAGGCATTAGTAAGCATCTCTATTCTCTACATGTGGCTTACACCTAAACTTGGCAAATATGATAAGGTAAATTAAAGTTGGAAAACTTGGCAAATATGATAACATAAACTGAAGTTAAATAACAAACCTGAGCAGTAAAAAATAAAAAATAAAAAATAACAAACCTGAGCAAGATAGTACAGATATTGCAAGACAGGTGATTTCCGCAAATTTATTCCATGTGATATATTGTGACACAGAAGGAACCCAGCAGCTAAATGGTCAACATCGCCAGCCTGAATGAGATAGTATTTCAGAAGCATTTTGAAAAAAAAAATATTAAGATATTTAGATGTAAGAGAAAGGAGAGTCAGAGTACAACCTCCCCACAGTGTGGCCGAAATCTGATTGTAGGTAATCCTTTTGATTCACGGAGCTGAAAAAAAATCATGAGCAAGCAGAAATCAAAAACTAAAAACAGGAAAAAGCAAGGCTTATCGTCAAGATATCAAAAAGTTGTAACATGAGAATGCTGTCACTATTTAACTACTAATTGCCGTTCTTTTTTAAGAGAAAAAAAAAGAAGAAAAATCTTTTCTTGATATCCTAATTATCATTTTCATCATTTTTTGTCCGGCTTTAACCCTACTTCCTAGGTGTGTTCAAGCTACTTTCTCCTCCATATAACGATTCATTCGATCAAATGTGTTAATGATGATGGTTCCTAAGGCAAAAACATGATGCAGTTTAACTCATAAAAAGAAGCATATTAACCTTGTTAAGAGTATATAAGTTTGCATAGCAGTAATAAGCATAATAAGAAAATGCAGGGTTGAACTCGTTTGTCCACTCTGATGGAGTTGGCATGTGCTTTGTCGGTCTCCTTTCAGGTTTACTTTCATCATCGACTATGTCGAAACCTACAACCTGCATTGCATAAATAACTAATTAGCTGAAAATAGGAAACACTGAGTGCACATAATGGGAAGAAACAAATATGGTTTCACTACTGTGGGTTTTCTGCCTCAGAGTTGCCTTACATGGATCATGAATTGGATTTAACAAATGATAAATCAGCTTGTATACATAGAGTTAGCTGGCTCTAAAATCTATCACAAACCCAATAAGAAAGGAAACAAATCAAAATTGTTCTCCATTTCCAAAGCCACAAAGTTGCAAAAGAAGCTGAAGTGACAACTGAACTTTTTCCAACCCAAAGTAAGATCACTCTTTTATGAGGAAAGATAATGGGCTTACTATGGAAATAGCTTACAAAAATTATTAGCAAGGCATACACCATACAGGGCACAACAATATCAAAAGCATAAAAGATACTGATAGAGATTGGGGAAGCAAATCATGGGAAGGAGTGCAAGAATGGAATAAAATAAGTAATGCCATATTGGAAGCACAAATCAAGGAATTGGCTGGAATCATCGGATCCTACCTGGCATGGATGGCTATCAAATCTTTATCTTATTTGTTCTTTATTATCTATTACCTTAAACAAATAATATGCTTATAAAAGGGTTGTGAGGAAGTGAAGATTAGGTATTGAGAGAAATAATATTGTTTGTTGGCCTTTTAGCTTGGGCGGGATTATTTCCCGAGGAGAACTTTATGTTCTTGGAGAAACTTATGTTCTTTTGCTTCGTTTTTTATGTGATATATTTAGTTTCTTTTACATTGGCCCTTTACTCCTATCAATTGGTCTGACCTGCCTCTATGAATAATACATATCGAATCTCGCATTGAAGCCATGAAGAAGGGTCAGGAGGTGCTCGAGTGCCGACTCAATAATGTTGAGGAGGCCATCGCCAAACTTATAGAGTTGGTCACACGATTTTTATCAACCAAGCGCAACATTCTAGCCACATTCCAGGTGAATCATGCCCAACGTCTGCTCTACTGTGGATCCACTCCTCAGTTATCGTGAATCATCATACCGAAATTTTAAAATTGGAGAATGGCTACAAATCCACTCTCTCCACTTCCTTTGTACCACTAGTTTTGGTGCAATCGACTTCACAGCGACATGAGACTGCCAAGGTGCCCATTCCCTGTTTGGATCTATGCACTCTTAATGAAGATTTTCTTATTGGTGAGCAGTACCCTCACATACAATCAAGGCTAGAAAATCATGACAAATGTCTTCTCTTCTCTTCTCTCCAACGCAAACGAAGGACTGGAGGCATATAATTCACTATTCCAGTCTGCGCGATGAGACTCATGGCCTCTATGCAATAATCGATGCAGTTCTTTTTTACACGGGTCGTCTAGTTTTGCCGTTTAGTCAGAAACTGTTTTTTTCTTTGCAGCCTTGTGGACAAAGCTGTTTTCTGGCAGGCGGCAATGATAGAGATTGGGAAAGTAAATAATTGGCAGGAAAGCAGGAATGTAATAAAATAAGTAATGCAATATTGGAAGCACAAATCAAGGAATTGGCTAGGATCATGGGATCCTACTTGGCATGGATGGCTATCAAATCTTTATCTTATTTATTATTTATATTAGATTACCTTAAATAAATGATATGCTTATAAAAGGGTTGTGAGGAAGTGAAGATTAGGTATTGAGAGAAATAAATATTGTTTGTCGGCTTTTTAGCTTGGGCTGGATTATTTCCCGAGGAGAACTTAGTGTTCTTGGAGAAGCTTGTGTTTTGTCTTATATATGATAATATTTAGTTTCCTCGAGCAAATGCTAAACATAAAGTAAACTGCAGCCAGGGAAGCATGAGGCTTGCTCTAAGAAATAATTACCAATAATCAACTGACTGAAAAGCAGACAAAGAAAACTACGAAAGCGATTATTGAAAAACTCAGAAATTCAGTTACTCAAAACAATACCTGCAATAAGAAAACATGTAAGTGAGGATGGGAATTTGGATCCACTGTGACCTCAAAAAGTGGAATGAAGATGTTGTCTAGTATACTCTGGAAGGAAGTAACTGTTCCCATACTCCTGTAAACATTGTATAATTTTGGCAACTGCACAGTTCAAAACTTAATATAAGTCTTCCAAATACAAGTTCAAAACTTAATATAAGTATACCAAATACAAGTTTAACACTTGAGAGGTATAATATCAGAAGCATGTTCCTACTGGAATGAAATACAGTAGCCAAAAAGTAGATACAATGTTGTCTTCCCAATCGTTTAACGCAATAAAAAAATCAGATAATCAATATGGCGATAGGAAACATAGTTAAGTACGGCTTGGAATCTTAACATTTAGCAGGTAAGTACCAAAGTGCAAAGCTTTTAGGAAGTGATAAAGAATCCTCAGTCTCTCAATTGGGTAATGGGTATGCAGTAAGAAAGAATTCTGAAATAATAAATGTTAACTACGCTACATCAGTTAGTTGGGCATAATGACGAGCGATTTTCTTTAATACAAAATTATATATGAAACTTACCTGAATTAACCAAACAGCATTTTCACTATAAATCCTGTTGTTCACAAACCAACTAGCCAGCTGATCCCATTCACTTTGCTTCCTTCCATAAACCGAAATTCGGTACTCAGCCAGCTGAAAGAAGCATAGTGAAACAGAAGCACCGGAAGGATAAGTTATTTGATTCTCAAACCCAATTCTTTGGACCAAGAATGGCCCTTCTATGGAAAAATAAATCACATTGGTACATGTAATAAAGCCTAAGAGGACTGCTCTAGCGCACTCTTCTTCATCATGGACTAAAGTGATATAACTAAGTCGACATAACATACAGCCATCCCTCAGTTGTGGAAATATCCATAAAGCATATTGCAACCATGGGTCTATACCTTGGGTTTATAACCTAATCTTAGAGAAATATTGGTCACTTTCTCATTAACCAAGAAATAGACAAAGATATGATCTAAATTGCAAATTGGTCTGGAAAAGAAAATAAGGCCGCCCACATCATAGTCATTTGTGTGACTTGAGTAAAGACCAGCAGCCGTTTACTGAGAGCATGGATTCTGCTTCTACTTAGACCAACTCAAGGGTGTGCTTGGTGAAAAGAGCGATAAGCAATCAACTAGAAGTAACTAATTATACAATATCTCTAGATATATTGTCTTTTCATTTTGGAATGTATAATTTCTGAAAGTACATCATGAGAATACACGAGAATTTTAAAAACAAAAAACGAAATGTGTCTGGATGAGTGAGTTGCAATACTCTATCAATAGATTCTGATATTACTAGTCCAAATCTACCTAAAAGTTTCTCCTGAAAGTGGAACTTTTACTTTTGAAAACAAAAGTGCACAATATAAAGACCGGATTGAGAGTTGAACAGGGATCAAGATGATGGAGGCCAGGATTGTTTTCCGAGATTTATTTAGAAAACTGTTTCAGAAAAATAAAAATAAAAAAATAAAAGAAAAAACCAAAGAAGAGGCCTGGATGAATCTTACCTGGTATTTACTTGCTTCAAGATCAGATAGAACCTGCTTTGTAACTTCAGCCAGAAAACGCCCTGGTAAGTATACAATTCACTCACATTATTCAGAGTCGTATGCAAACAGATGCATGGCTCTAGCCTGCAGCTTTGAGCACTGGGAATAATGTTATAGTCAGGAATAATTTTACTCCAGAAGAATTTAAGAATGGGGTAAATTTCGGAGACCATTTGATTTGTTTCATTTATGTATTTATTTATATAAATATGACTTTAACAATTATATGACTAACTTTTAACTGATGGTTTAGAATATATATCCTAAACCAGGGAAGAGCAACCTGAAATTTGTCGGTAAGGTAAACAGATATCATTGTGCACCATGTGGATCATAATGATGAAGTCACGAGATTATTTTCATGAAAATAATCAAATTACATGATTGTATTTGAGATGCGGTAGTAATAATTAACATAAAACTTTAATACTTACATTAGTAATAGCTTCCAGATATACAACAAACACCATTGACCTTCAACATACTTCTTGAACAGATTTAAAATCCCCACAGATGTAAACAGACCAGAAGGAATAACTTTCCAGTTATAAACTATTTTTGAAGAAGTCAGCACAGTAAGATATTGCCAAGTAATTACCATGAAAGGTCATTATAAAAATGGCTGTAAATTATTCCCCATGAAACAAACCTTGAATGAGATTATCCTGCTTCAGAAAGATCTCTCTAAGTCTACTCTGTCCACATGGATTATACTTGAGATTGAATTTGTCAAATCGATGGAAGGTACTCTTATCGGCATGCACATCCAAGAGATCTACATTTAGATCATATCTGCAATAAGTATTCTCATTAAAAAAAGAAATATGGAATGTATACATAACCTGCCTAGAATATATCAATTGAGTAGCATTGTCACAAACCCTGTCAAGTCCAAGCTGTCAAAGACTTCTTTCAGGGTAAGATACTGTCCATCACGGTAGATCACAACCTGCAGAGAGTAAGGATAGCACAAATTTAGAGCGTACCGCAACTAGGACTGTATGACTTAAATGTATGGGCAGCAGATAAGGAAAGAATGTGTTGTTTAATACCTCATCTGGTTCTTTTCTTAACTTTGACTTGATGAAACGGAGAAGATGCTTTTGGTTCATACAAGCAGAATGGTGTACATGAGTGTCAACTTTTCTGATATTATAGAAATCTCGATGAGGTGCACTTTTCTGAGCTACAAACTCCCTATCTGCGTTTACCAACAAATGGAGGCGGAATTTCTACAATAAAGTAACTTTTATTACTGATCCAAACAAATAATTAGTAAAAACAGAGAGAAAAAACTGGAACTGAAAAGTTCTTACTTCTTCAAGAAATCGTAATCGGTGGTGACATAAAGTGCGAGCATTTCCAATGGACATCACTTTCAGTATATAATGCATATCAGTGAAAAACATTGTGGAACTTGCAACCGGAAAAAGTTCTTCAGTATCTGTTAGAAAAGACATTGAAGAACTTAAGGATGTTCTTCCATATCTGGGTAAAAACTAAGGAGATGCATGCATAGCCATGTTTTTAAGACTACATTCCCCAAAGCTTACCCTTTTCACTCGCATAAACATGTACTACGCCTTCTTCCATTCTGAAAAAATGCTGCAAGTGTTCATCATAGAAAAAAAGGAGATATATTATATGCTTATATCCAAGAAACACCACGGTGGCGTCTGCCAGCAGTCAAGAGAGAAAACTCACGGAAGATGCTTCAACAGGCACAAAATGAAATGGATCATCCTTAATCTCAACTGAACCAGATACTTCTGATGTCCATGGAGCAACATTTTCCCTAAAAACGTATTTTTCCCTCAATTCTAGACATTCATGTATCATCTTCAAGACTTCTTGTTCTTCAGCACTCACTGAGTCTGATTTCACACTTTGAAGAGCAGCAGAAACAGAACCTAGTAACAAAACCATGTCACCAGGGGAAAGCAAGCAAACGATATTAAGATGCAAAAATGCCAACTAAAACTTTTGCAAACTGGAGGACCAGGAAGATGAAATACCATTAAGTGTAGTTATTGGTGGAAAAATATTGTTTCTGATTATAGGATCATTTGCCACAATATGTGTTGAAGCTGTATTTGCTCTACTGTCAGCATGACCATCACTAGATTTTACTTCACTCTCTAATGATTTGGATTCTTGAGAGTCAATGCAGACCCCGTTTTCAGCTGGTATCGGGGCTTCACTTTGAATTGTTAGATTTATGTCCTGCTGAATAGTGAAACAAATTAGTAGGCAACACCTCCTTAACAGAATAGGTGAGAAGGGAAGAAGGAAAGTGAAGGAAAAAATAAAATAAAAATCCCCCTGTCCGAATATTATAGCCCCTTTTGTCCACCTTCTTTTATCCCACAACCACAACGATAGTCTTTTTCTGTATGTCACATATTTACTCATTTAAACTTGATATAACCTTGTTTAACAAGAAAAGTTTTAACATTCCATTGGAATTGGTGTAAATAAGGGTATGGTCGGAGATTGAGTATTCTGTTCATTTTACAATGGAAGTTAAATAAATTTTATAAATGTGTGGAAATGAGAATTGAGACCACTAAAATGGAATGGAGGGAGTCAATAAGAAAAAATGATCAACTTGTGATAGAACTTAGTAAGTCATGGCTTTCCAAGAGACTCAATCTTAGTATGGATTCATACTACTACCAATGAATGCAAACTACTTGATCTTTTGGCTTAGGCGAAAAGATGTGGTGCAAATGAGTATAACTGATTTGATTCAAGAGATTCTATCATTATTTATGACCAGTACGCTACAGTTTCAGTTTACCGTCCAAGAAGATGAATAATTCATTCCAAACAAAGAGAACCTCATAATTTCACATTTTTTTAGAAGTCCCGACAATTTCGATAAACCTGTCTGTGACAGTGTGACCTGCCACCAAACCTCAGAACAGTGCCTTCTTAATGACCTAAATTATCTTACACATGTAAAAATCATTTAAAGGTAATAAATTTATAGCATATTTAAATAAAATTAACAGTCCAAAATTACTAACATTTTGATACGACAATACATGATTCTCTCTGGCTGAAAGTTCAGTTCCTTCATCATCAGAATCTCCTGTGCTCTCAAATGCATAACCACCTGATGATCTAGGAGTCACAAGCCTACCAACTGATCCTACACGCATAGTGTTACCAGAGTGAATGATGTAATGCTCCTCCCCTGCTTAAAGGAAAATGAGTTAAGACATCCAACTCCTCCAAAATCCACTAAAGTGCATAATCAACTAAAACTACAAGAATGGGAACTTCAGGAAGTATATCAAAATCAGAGAGTATGCAAGATTATTCATGATCCAGATGCAGTGGTCAGTGTTGTGTCCATATTCTAAAAAATGATTATAGCCAAGTTGAGGAGAATAGAACTATATAAACTTCTTAATTTCATGCAATCCAAATTTAATGAACTGGGATGGAGTATTTTGTTCTCCATGCTAGTGAACTGGAAATTGATAATAACTCTGTTGTTTTATCTGTTGCGCGTGTTTTATGAGAATCCTATTAGTAAACCAAGAGGCAAACTTCTTCTGTCACGTAGATAATTAACACCTTATCTGTTGCGCGTGTTTTATGAGAATCCTATTAGTAAACCAAAAGAGGCAAACTTCTTCTGTCACGTAGATAATTAACACCTCTTCAAAAGAGAACAACTCTTGGAAACAATGTCAAAATAGGTTCATTTTAGTATATGAATTTTGAAAATATCTGGCCGAAAGATTTTCCGTTAACTCCAACATAAAAGTACTCCACCAGGACCACCAATGACTACATTTAGGAACTACAAAAGGTGGGGAAAAACAACATACCGTCCCTCTGATCAGTCCGTATTTGAGGTAAATCAGAAGGAATCAATTCATCTTTATCCAAACGCACAGAAATACCAGCCTCCTCACCGAGCCACTCAGTCCTCCGAACAGTCACACTCGGCACGGAAGACGAAACTCGATAATTTCTCGCCTCATCGCCGTAACGATCCTCATTATCATGATCAATTGGGTCGTTCAAAAATCTAGTCTTGCTTCTCCATATATTCACGTTATTATCAGTTTGCGCATTTTCAATACAATCCGAGATATCAAGTTCTTCATCTTCGGACAGTGAGTGGCAGCGGCGGCGGCGGAGGTTGAGGAGGCGATCGAGGACTTGATCGACGCTGCGTTTGTGGATGTAGAATGCGGAGATAGCCATTACGGAGGCGCCGAACAACGCCGCCACCGTTAGTTGAATCGGCGACACCGGCGAGAACGGTGGCTGTGGAAACATTTTTGTGTGCTGTGTGTGACGCAGGTTTTAGTTTGGGGTTTTTGTGGAGGTGGCGGCACACAGGTTTTGCCAAACTTACTACTCGGTAAAATATATGGATAAGATATTGATTTAGCAATTATATTATCACTACTAGTACGAGTATTTATAAATTAAAAATAATTATTAAATAATATTTATAAATTAAAAATATTGAATCAATATGTAATACATTTACCTATATTAATTTATTGAAAATGTTATATGGATTTTATATAGTGCAAAATTACATAAAACATGTCAATTTAATTAGTATACAACCCGTATGGTGCACGTAATTGATAATAAATTACATTATATTTATTTCAAAATAAGTGTCATTTTCTAAAATATTTATTCAGAAATTCGATTGGACTACAATGTGATTCCACAAAATAATTCTTTTAGTAAAATTTTATCATATATTTAAAAATCTATGTGAATAATAAGTACAATATAAAATGTATAGTGTTCATTAATTAAAATGAATTTAATTTTGTATAAACTATCAAAATAAAAAAATTTAAGTTGTTGAGTAATTTATTAAACTATAATTAATTGACTATATCATTTATGTCTAAGTTAATATTGACACGTAAGTTATGAATAATTATTTATTTGACTTTTAAATGTGAAACCCAAATTTGAACTATACGATAAATTTCCTTATATATATATATATATATATATATATATATATATTCCCTTATATATAAATTCCCTTATATACATATTATCTCACAATTTTCTAGAGTTGTTGTCAGTTAATTTTTAAATTTTATTAACCAATATTTGTTCAAAGATGTTTATGATTTTTAAGAGGAATACATACCATTTTGTCAAATTATCATTAATATTTTATGGCAAGTTATTATAGAAATATGCTAAAATTTGAGAAATATATTACCTTGATTTTATAACAAATCAACCTAAAAGTCGACTTTCATACCCATAAAATTTTATACATCATAATAACAAAAATATCATTTTTCAATATCTCTTTGTTCACAAAAGATACATTTATCCTTTAAAAGAGTTGGATTGCATAGAGTTTTCATGGTATTTTGCTTGATGAGTCCTCATGATTTCTTATCAATACAGAATTCTATTTGTTCTTTATATTTTGCTTGATTTTTTGATGAGTGGGGATATAATAACAACTCAGAGTGTGTATGTTATTTTTATAGGCAAATTGAGTGTTAATTTAATAGGTGGAAAAAAATATCTCAATATTAGATGATTGGAGCGTTAGAATAATATTATCTAAATATTTGAAATGATATTCGCGTATTAAAATTTGGAATGATTTGATATTACCCATCAAATTAAACAAATATTATATTTTGTAATATCTCTTATTTTAGTATAAAAAAATAAATGGACTCACTTATGCTTTTTTTTTCCTTGGGTTGCGATATTAATACATAATAAGCTTAGTCATTTCAAAATCTTTTTAGATTAAAAGTTTAGTTATCCACAGATTTATCAAATAGGTGTTTGGTGAAGATTTATCAAAATCTGTTTAGATTAGTACTCCCTCCTATTCATAATAAGTGTCGTTTTGGGAAGTTGCACACTAATTAAGAATAATTTTTTTGCCAATAATAACCCTCATTAATGAAGATAAAGATGGATGTTTTTTAAAAAAAAGGATAAAGATAATATGAAAAGACGTAGTGTATTTATTAACTAAATGGGGGAATAATGAAAAAATATGAACAAAAGATCCAAAACGACATTTATTTTGGTTAATAGTTGATAAAGCCAAAATGACATTTAAAAAGAATAGGAGGTAGTAGTTAGTTATCCACAGATTCCATCATGAGTTATCCACATATTATTGTTTCAATATTATAACTACACCATTAATTTTGAATTCAAACTGTGATTTTCCGTAAAAAAAACTAATTTTGAATTCAAATTGTGAGTAAAAAAAAAAACTACACCATTATTGTTTTCAAGCTTTCTATAAATAGAATGTCAAAGGTATTATTTATTTGGTCAAAAGTTTCCAAAAATGATTTAACCAACAACCTTTTTATATATAGATAGATTCACTACACTTGTATTGAGTTAGGAAATATTTACATCAAAATATATAAAGATAAACAAAAAATATATTTTAATTATTTAAAGCTTTTAAATTTGTATTATTAATTTTAAATGATGCTAGAGTGTTATACATGAATATAATACATTTGAATTATATTAGTTTTTTCAAAGTTTAAGGAACTGATTTTATTATCATTATGCTGAATTTTACTTTCTATAATAATAATTATGGCAATGAGCACCTAAAAGGACCGCTTAGTAAAAATCGTGGCACACGATCCAATGCCGCCTAGCTTGTTATATTTAAGTAATAATTTTAAACTCATCGAATACTACACAAAAACTGATATAAGAAATAAGTACACGACAAATTATGTAAAAATAAGATATTATATATGCTAATTACCCGTTCTTTTCACTTTCTGGGCTGAGACCGTCCAATTTCATTCTTGCCTAGGAAGAGAGTTTGTTGTAGGATGACGGCGGTCATAAATAAACGAGTCTCTTTCGTACCTTTTATTTTATCAACCAGGCCACGACTAAATACACTTAATTGATAACACAATTTGTAATAATCAATATGTTAATGCTAAAAATCACACTGAAACTCTTACTAAGAAAATAAACAAATTGACATTTATGTTTATAGCAAACACAATGTTTTAAGTATTGTACTGTATAGGCTAGTATTACCAATAATATTGGTTATCGGTTGATTGGCCGGTACGGTAATACTCTAAATACCATTTTGACAAAAATACCGCTTTTAACCGATTTCATACCTAAAAATAACAGCAAAAAATGCATGATATAACGGATTCAAAAAAATGTACGGTAATATTCTAAATACCATGATATGTTTTTTTTGTGCTGCCAGAAGAGAGTAAAGGGGTTTGGAGATGATTTTTCGTAAAAACAGGATAGAGATTATATGATGGGCTTGATGGGCTTTATGAGATTTCGGGAGAAGTTGGTTACACGAAGGAACTCAATGCTAATACTACTGCAGATGGTACTTGTCATTCTTGTGTATTGTATTTTAAACCACTTTAAAATGAGGCGGTGCTTGTTACTTTATATTGTTTTGGGGTTTGGTTTAGGAAAAAGTTATTTGTATAACTTTTTTTGTACAACATTCAAATGACAACATGACGTGACACAAGGTAGGTAGTTGAGATGCAAATAAATATATGATTAAAATTCCAAGTTTTTTGTACAATATTCTTTACCCACCGAATGACAAAGCACCTTCTAATGACAAATTCCAAGTTTTTTCAACTATTTCATC